TAGTAGCAGCCTGAACCACTGATGGATTCACGCTCTCAGGCTAAATTCTAACTCCACCAGCCGGCCCACCGAGTGCCAGACGGTGTGGTCTTCTGCTGCTGTGGCCCATCAGCTTCAAGGTTTGATGTGCTGTACACTGAGAGATACTCTTCTGCAGTTCAGATCAGCAGTTTCTGAAGCCGACCAGCCCAGCTCAGGTTGCACTTCAGCAGCATTGAGTTGCTGCCATGTGATTGACATTACTTGCTCCAGACCAGCTTATGTGTTCAACTTAAGTTACTATGGTAATGAGAGCCACCTTCGTGACAGTGAAACTGATTTAAGCTCGTGATACCTCGCTAACCCATTAATCTCACCTCTCTGGTGTCAGTCATGCTTTTGTCTGAATGCAGCTAACTGCACTGCTCCATCCAGCAATGCTTCCTGAGCACAAGGATCAGGAAGCATTGCTGCCAGTTTGAGGGCATATCCATTAATGCATGTCTGCTGGAGGGTTCACAGAGGGAGAGGAGCAGTGCTGCAGGAGCCTGCAGCCTCAGCAGGGAGAGCAGAGGGGGACACAGAGAGAGCTGACTCAATGCCTCCCCATCTCTGTTCTCCCAGAACTCGTCTGTTTTTGCACTAGTAAACAAATACTCAAGGCAAATAAGAACAACCCCCCAAAACATCCCCCCCACACACACACACACACCAAACCACCCCCAACACTGCAATAAGAAGCACAAAATGAGAAACAAACAGGTCTGTCTCTCATGAAGGTTGCTGAGTTTCACCGCAATGTCAACAAAAACAAAGAGATCAGGCACAGATGGAAAAAGGGAGATGTGGAAAACAAGAGCAACTGTAACTGCTTCTCACTGCAGATTTAAGGGCGCCATATTGCACATGACACCATACACTAATATTATAAATGGGACATAACTATTTTTGGGAGGTGACTGCATCTGTTGCATGGATGCAAAGACATTTTGTTCTCAGAGTTTCAGCAAATTTAAAAGGACCTAAAACCAGGTAAGCACAGGAAATGCTGTTTTAAGGTATAACTCTGTTTCCATAAATAGAGTTATACAAAAAATACTGCAGTTTAGAAATGCTTTGACTGCTCAGTATAAGCAGTAAAGCATTATATACACACAGATACACCAGATTTCCAGAAAAATTGGGAATAAAACTAAAATCTGCTTTTTCGTCATACACTTGAACATTTATTTAACAGACAAAAGGACAAAGAAAAGATTTTAAATGTTTTTTTCCACTTAAACTTAATTTTATCTCTTAAACACATTTAGAAAATGCTTGCAACACACTCCAAACAACTTTGTGCAGAAACATCAGTGAGTTCTGGGCCCGAGCTCATCCGAGATAGAGCGAGCACCAATGGAAACGTGTCCTGTGGTCACATGAGTTCACGGCTCAGCGTGCACCAGTGCCCGTAGCATGGGCACTTTGCACATATGTGAAGGCACTACGAGGAGGAGGAATTTTAGACAGACATATGCTCCCATCAGGAACTCCGTGTGTAGGACAATGCCAGGCCTCATTGGAAAAACCTGGCTTTGTAGACATGGCGTCTGTGCTTGACTGCAGTCCTGATCTGTCTCCCTTTGAAAATATCCAGCACATCATGAGGAGGAGAATCAGGTTTTAGTTTTTATTCGATTTTCAGAAAGTGTCCCAACTATCCCAGTGGGGTTTGTACCGACCCACTACCTAAAATACTGCAATTTCACTTCCCATAACCCAGGTGGTCTTTGATGGTCTGCGCAACGCAGCAGATTTACTATTATCCAATAAGAAGTCACTAACTAGCAGATGTGAGGCTTAGCAGACAGCTAGTGCTTACAGCTGTGTTAGCACACACCTCAAAGTAGCCACATCGCTAACTCTGAGTTTTACAAAAATGCAGGCAGGTGAGTTATTAAAAAACTCCACCTCCTTCCAAATTTCCAAAACATGACTAATTTTAAAAGCTTGTTTTTAAATTAATTATGTGCCTGAGACAACTCCATCACAGATCTCCATCCTGGGATACTTTCTGGCTCACAATGCATCATCCTCCCGTGCCGTTTCCAAACCCCCACCCCCCCAAAACAAAGTCGAGCAGAAAAGACACGCCAGCCCAGACGCTCAGCTCTCCATATGGTCACTAAAAGCTGTTGCAGCAAGTAAAAAGCCATTTTATGAGCTTGATATCCTGTTTGCTGTGACCTTTCCAGGAGGACCGCACACTAAACACAACTACCCACAACCTCGCGCACACATAAACAAAGTGACGTGCGTGGACGAGCATGCAGGGTAATTAAGTCGGCCGGCAAGCTGTCCTGTTGTGGCTCTAATGAAGTTTCAGTGGTACCAGCCTTGGCAGACACGTCCCCATATTTACACTTGGTTTGTTTCTTTAATTTCTTGGATCAATTTATGAACGTCCTTCTGCCAAGGCTGGAGGAGCTTTCCAGGTTACATCACTACTCCAAAGTTGTGGGAGCTGCCTCCACGACGGCCAAAAAAACAATAACTGCAGCTCTGAGATGACGACGGCGCAGAAGCAAATACTAAGAGTTAGAATTAGACTAGAAATGTCAACTTTTTTTTGTTTAAATTGTTTTTGAATATTGAGTAGAAAGTATGAACAGCAGGTGCGTGCCAGCCTTTTACTTACAGTCAGAGCCGTGTGCCTGAGGTAACCACATCCTCCTTCTATGACATCATATATTTGCAAGAGAAGAAAAACAATGTGAAACTGAGCGGTTAGAGCAGTTTGGAGCCTGAGCTTTTGTCTCACAGGTGCTCTTTGTGCATAGACTGATAACAGATAACAGCATGGGGCGTCCCCTTTAAGAGGAGCCTTTATTTCGTGGGAAATGATTGACGAATTATAAAGACTAAATTAGACAGACACGCCTGAGCGTAACTGTACCTGACTGCATGTGTGTGTGCATATTTCCCGTTCACCTCGATGTCCTAAGGCTCCCTCTCCGAAGACACGTCGCCCTCTGCCCCACTGCTGGCGTTGGGGTCCTGTCGAGAACGCTGGGCGACCTTCTCCCTGCCGGACTCAGAGGGACCCTTGGAGCGCGTCTTCTCTTTCCTCTGCTGCTGCTTCTCCTGCTTTGATAGCTGAGAAAATACAAGGAAGCAAAAAGGCTGGGTCAGAAAGACAACAAGCAGTTTAAAACAGCAGCTAAGCTTTTAGGATCAGAGCTCTCACGGGACACACACATTGTGGTTTTGTAAAATGTACACAAGTGGAA